AAGTTCCCTCTCCAGAAGCGAAAGGGTGTCGTCGCTTATTGCGAAAAGCGACCACATCTGAAAAGGCCTGTAGAAGGGAATCTTCTAGCCGAGTAACCTCGATCTTGAACCGGGTTCGTGTTTGCCTGCAGGCAGTCCAAGTATGGCTGCGGCACCATGTATTGGACGGACATCCGTGTAAAGGGCAAGCTGACGAATCTCATCTCATCTCTAAGCATGGGTGCCTTGTCTTCTAGAGTAATGACACCTAATAGTCATCAACTGCTTCGCGACTGAGGAAGACCAAGCGACAGGCCTTCCAGGAGGCAATGGAATGGGATGAGGAGACCGACGGTAAGAAGCCCTGCAAGAAGCAGAACAGCTTCGGCGATTGGAGTCTCATGGCTTCCGATGCTGAGGGCTGCTTGGCCCCATGATATATTAGGTTCATACCGATTATATTATCGACAGATCATAGATCCTGGAACCTCGACAAATTCGAGATCCTGAACCCAGTCATCCGAAAACACCGACAATCCCTAAACCCTGAACCCTGACTAGGTTCTAGAACCCCGACTAATCTGAGACCCGAAACCCTGGCTAGATTGTAAACCCAGACAAACATAACACCCTAAACCCTGGCTAGATTAAAAACACCGACAAACCCAACGCCCTGGCTAGATTCGAAAACCCCACAAACCCGACACCCAACACCCTGGCTAGATTGTAACACCTCGAAAAACCCGACACCCTACACCTTGGCTAGGTTGTTAAACCCCGACAAACCCGAGCCCCTGAACCCCAGTTGTTATGTTTGCTTAGAACCTCCATGATCAGCCGAGACCCATCCCTCAATGTTGCCCTCGAGCCGGACAACGGACTCGAACAAGAGTTGGACGATGACCCCGAAGAGGAGCCTGAGCAAGGCCAGCAGCTGAAGACTGGGTTTCCGGAGTTGGAGAAGGATATGGCCCCTTCTTCTGTGCTGCTACCAGCAAGTACATGCATTTCCAAGCATTCTAAGAAGCTCGACGGGCTGCTACAGCGGTTTGAAAAGCCTCCGGAGGGCACAACTCTTACGGCTTTGCAAACTTCGCTACCGGGCTCTGTTGGTCACTGTATGCAATTCTGTTGTGGTGTTGCTGGGTTTTTGCCAGTTTTTTGGTTAATTAGCTGAGGCTCAAGGACAAATTGCCCGCCACGCTGAAGAAGCTTGAGTCATGTGCTGAAACGATGCACCGTGTTCATGGAGAGGGTGTGTTGAACGGCTTCAGTCGCAAGACACTCGTCAAGAGTTACATGACACAGTCGGAGGCAATCTTCTGAAGTGTCTGAAGTCTGAAATCCGAACTAACCAAGTTATCCTAAGGAAGCAGCGGGACATCTCGCACCAGCTGGACATCGGCCAGAAGCTGTTCCACGGCTTAATTTCTACATAGTCTGAACTACCTCAATTCCAAGACCGGCAATTCTTATTGGGGGTCACAAAACTTCTGCAACCTTAGTCTAAAGCCCAGGATCCCCAAACAACTGACCTCAAAATAATTAAGTTTAAACGAGCCCTGGCTTCGAATACCACGCCTCCAAACCCTATAATCTGAAGGGCTATGGCTTCCATCTTGAAACCTAAGCTCAAAATATGAAATCCTAAAAGCTTTGAGCCCTGAACCTCCGAAGCCCCAGAAAATCCCCAAGACTTCGATCCCTAAACCTAAAGCGCCGAAAGTCTGAAGCCTGGAGCCTCCTGAACTGCTAGTTTGTTAGCACGCAACACCCGAATCGTAAACCGAGGGTCGTCGAGACGATGCTGTTGATGGCCAGGGCCAAGCATGCACCTGAGTGGTAGTTTCGGCCGAGTGTTTATACGAATGCTGTGGCCATTAATCACAAATCCTTTCTCAAATCAGGACCCATGCCCCGCCGGACCCGGAGAAGAAGCAGCTTGGTACATCATCCAGCCCCCAATCGTCGAAAGCCGAGACGCCAAAGGCGAAAGCGAAGGCTAAGGCCAAGGCAAAGGTGCTGAAGAGAGTGTCGAGCAAGCGATCCATTCCTGAGCCGGCTGAGGAAACACCAGTTTCCAAAAGGAAGCGAAAGTAGAGCTGTCGTGAGTATCGGTTTTTGGGATGTTATGTCTGTTGAGCAATAGGTCGCTACTAGGTTACCGCATGAGCCGATAATTTGCAAAGCATGCTCTGCTGAAGCGACTGCATTTTCTCGATTGCCGAAAGAAAGTTTGGCAAGGCCTTCACATGGGCCCAGCTGTTTGATCAGCTGTGCCTATAATCAACCAGTTGTTTGATCAACTGACCGGGGGAATTGCTGCTCGATCGTGCCCGCTGATGCTTGAAACATGCCCAGGTATCTATGGCTTCCTTCAAAGACCCCAAGCCTAGCCAAAGACCCCATGCCTAGCGAAACAAGCCCGAGCCCGGCGACCAGGAGTTCTATTCATAGGGTTTTGATGCCAGCTAGAGAAGTCCTTCGTAGTGATTTTCCAAAACATAGTTCTTAAAGTTGGTCTTAAAGTCCTTAGTGATCAACATAGAATAATACACTGGGGTGGATTACAAAGGTCAAATCTATATGATTCAACCCTATGCTTTAAGCCCTGTTGACTCTTCTATAACATTAGGCGGCACTGGTATGCATGGCAGGTCGTATGGATGACGATGAGGATGAAACAGACTTCCTTCAATGCCTGGCGGAACACCTCGGGGATGGAGCACTTCGTCTGATGATTAGTCTGAAAAAATAGCTGCTCCTATACCAAACCCAAGTCCGATCGCGAATTTATCCCAACAGTCCCAAACCCCAGAAACCCACTACCCTGAAAGACAAAGTGCAGCCAATTGTATCATCCATCAGCCCAGGCCACGGCGAAGTCAGTGAACACGACGCTGGGCACAATCGTGCCTGAAGGCAAGAAAGTGAGTGCCACGAAGGATCCGGAAGCATTTGCTGAGCGGTTTTTTCGTAAACGGGGTTTGTCGTTGTCAGTCCCTATAGATGTCATAGATCATGAGGGTCAAGAACGTCTAAGAACATGGCATGTTCGGCCTCAATCTTGGCTATCATTTCTCATGAGCTCCTCACCAGACTTGCTTGCGGGACCAGGTGATGCTTGTACGAACTTTCGTTGCTTTTGGCAAATGTACAGATGTGGCCACCCTCATCACAAAATCTTTGATTCCCCGCTAGAACAGTGTTTGGAGCAAGTTGTGCCCTTGCTTATACATGGTGATGAGGGTAGATCGCAAAAGAAAGGCAAGTGCATGGTGCTAAGCATGCAAAGTGTCTTGGGTTCTTTGCCAGACCGATCTAGCAGTTGCACTTGTCGTGAAGATCTGATGCAAGCCCGGGGCTTGCCTTCGTTCGGTGCCGCTGGCGATTCTCTGAAGGATTACTGCCTGCCAGAAGACATCTATGACTGTCTCACGAAGCAAACAACGAACTATCGAGGTTCAACCTTTCTTTCCCGATGGTTGCTCTTCACTCTCGGTTCTTGGGTTTACCAAAAGTACCCTGAAGTAATGGATGTCTTGCACGCACGGCTGGCCTCTGATTTTAAAAGCCTCTTCGAGGAAGGGTTTCTTGTAGGAACTCGTAGGTTCTATGGAGCCGTCATCGCTGTGAAAGGGGACATGGAATGGCACAAGAATTTGTTCAAGCTACAAAGGTCTTATGCAAGATCTGGAACTGTCAACACTGGACCTGTTTGCCACATGTGTCAGGCTGGAGGGGGAGGTCCTATGTTCGAAGATTATTCCGAGTCCCCGCAATGGCGATTGACTTGCTATGTTAGTCGTCCCTGGGGCGACAATGAGCCCACCCCACCACTCGCCACCATCCCTGCATTTCCTGCCCCTGAACAACTTCTACATCTAGACCCCTTTCATCTTTGCAAGATGGGAGTGGGGAGAAGCATCGCAGGTGGGATACTTGTGTACTTGGCTCGCCGCAAGTTTTTTGACTTCGAAGGCTGTGAAGCCGAAGGCTTCAGCTTCCCAATAAGGCTCGAAAGAGCTCACCGATCCTTTGTGCTTTGGACCAAAGCCGGGGGACATCACCCTTCCCTACGGAGCTTCAGCAAAGCCTTCCTGAACATGAAGTCCCTGGCTAGTGCTCCTTGGTGCAATACCAAGGGTGCTGACACCACACTGATGATGCAATGGCTGCTCTGGTACTTGACTTTAGTCCTTCGTGATCCGCCCGACCATGCTGATACCGGTATATTGCAGAAAATGCGACAGCTCGCCCAAGCCTATTTAAACATGTTTTCTTCAATCCACCGGCATGGACTGTGGATGACGAGACCTTGTGCACGGAATCTTTATATCGAGATGATGAGAGTTCTCCGTGGTTACCAGTTGTTGGGCTCCCTTTGCTTGCAGGCTGGCTATCGGGCATTTATACAGAAACCCAAAAACCACGGACTCCATCATGTAGCCTTGTCCCTGAAAGAGCAGTTGTGCTGCGGCTGTCCACTAGTTTTAAACCCCGAGGCCTTCTCGTGCGAGCAAGACGAAGATTTCGTAGGAAGGATTAGCAGGCTTAGTAGGAAAGTGGATGTTCGCAAGCAAGGCTACCGGGTGTTTAATCGCCTTTTCTTGAAAATTCGAGCTGTTAGAAGACGGCGGAAAGGGAGTAAGGAATGAGTGGGGCTCCTAAGTACTCTAGGCCCTTAGCTTTAACTTAGTCCGAGGCCCTGAATAATACTTCTACCTGGCTTACAGGCGCAATAAGTTTCCCTAATCGCCTGGCCTCATCCCCGCACCGTCGTCGACCACCGCAGCAGCAGAAAGGCAGCGGCGAAGGAATCATTGAGGGCTTGCTTTCGGTTTTAAAGTTGGATGTTTCGGGTTATTTCTTGTGTATGGGGTCCTGCACTTCGGAAATGACCTTTTCTTGCTATCATCCAATAAAGTTTGAGCTTCAGTGTAACCCAAAGCTTCCTTAGAAAAATGATGCGGGCTATAATTCCTCCTGCGGGCTGGAATCCTTCGTGCGGGCTGAAGTTC